TAATAACACCTCACTCCTGAAATCTTTCGGCAGTGATGCCACGGTGCAGTAAGCCTAGCACCATTCTCCCCGCTTTACAAGCAAAATCAATGGGAACTACTAGACACATCTGCAATAAACAACAATTATTTAAGATTTCCAGAGGACTTCCCCATTGAAATTCACCAGATTATAGTTAAACTGACAATGCCCACATGCATGGCAGTTAAATGTTGCAATACTTTAGGTAAAATTTAAGAAAAAAAAAAAAGTATTATTTCACCTTTCCAATTCATGACCCTCCAAGGACGGGTTCGTTGTTGGATTACCAACTTGAAGAGGGAGGATTTGCCATCGAACTTCATGCCAGACAAAAAAAATATGTCATTAATCTGTTACTCTTTGGTTGGCATAGTGTACGATGCACTGCACTAGCACTCCACACTACAAAATGATCAATAAACTAGAGTTGCACTGCTTAAGGTGGCTGCGCTTGAAGTAACTATTTGCTTGATTCCATTGTGTTTTTTTTAAGAGAACCACAAATACCAGTTTAGTTGAACAGGAGGCAGAGCAAGTAGAAGAGAGAGGAGAAAGAAATTCAAGACGTCTCTTCCATCAATTATTATTGGCAACGTGAGATCTTTAGGACAGAAGGTAGGAGAACTGCAGGTCCTAGTAAGGACACAGCCAGAATATATGCAGTGCAGTGTTATGTGTTTTGCTAAAACATGGCTGTGGCAGAGTTAAGATCTCTGAAGGTTATCGCAATATATCTTAGACAGTAACTCCTGTCAGAGTATGAGCATAGAGAGACCAGACTTTAGCATGTATACAGGTAAATCTAGAAGCATGGGTGTGGTCTAAATGAACAATTATGAAAAAAAAAAATTACCTTAAGAACAATACAATATTATATACAACCATATTTTATGGAATAATGGAGCAGGGGGGCTGCCAGGAATTTGGGCCCCATGAAAGTCATTGATATTATATCCCAAATCAATAAAAAAGCAATTATGCAAGCTTTAAAACAGCTACAAAGATGCACTGAAGAGTATCATTTACATTGTCAATCTAATTTGTATTGTAATATTTTTACCAAAAAGGGAGAGGGAGAAAACTGGGTCACGGTATTGGATGCCTTCTCCCTCTCTCCTCTTTCCCAGCCTCTGGGGCGCTGCATTTTAGTTTTTACCACACTGCTTATTTACACATTTTCTTTTTTTTGTTTCTTTCATTATCACTATGTCAAATGATGTGCACGTGGCACTTAAGCCCTGGTTCGAGCAAAGGGCCAGTGACAGACAGGAAGCCCTGATGCGATGCATGATCTGAGGACCAAACCATTTATTGCAATTCCAATATATTCATGCTATGTTTCACTGTTTACTGCTGAAAAATGAGGGAGATTATAGGGTTATTTATTTTAATGCTTGATTTTCTTTTTACATTTGAACTTCTTCTTCTTTTGGGCCCCTGCTCAGTCAAGGGCCCTTACAATCGTCCTAAATTTCTCCCCCGTACGGCACGCCTGCAGTGGACCCTACAAATTGAACTGAATATGCACAAACCTTCTGAAGACTGTACTACTCTTGTATAGACACTGAAAGTCTATAGAAGAAAGAAACAATCCTTCCAAGGCTCAGAAATGTAATAGTGTGTAGTCTCTAGAGTCATCTAGTGGTCACACTAGATAATTGCAACGATACCTCATAATATAATAGCCCTCTGAGGGTCTGGTGCCACATTACAGCCTAATACAAACAATGCTGCCAGCCTGTTCTGTGGTTGCCATCACCCAGAAGACTGAGAATTTACACAGGCAATGAGGTATTGTATCTGAAATAAAAAAGTTGTATCAGGACATCCCTACCTTCTAAAACATTGTCCATGTTGCCATTAAACTAACACAGAGATGGTCTAAGAATGAGCGTTAGACCCATTTGTGCTCAGTCCTCCACTTTCTGACTATTTTCAGATGTTGCTTCAACATTTGAATCATGTTCGTTTCTCGTGATGTGAAGTGTGCTAGACCAAAATGAAGTCAAACAACCCCCTCAACACCTCCGCCACCTTCAGTCTCATAATTGATGTAAAAGTATTGTAATATTATTATAACCTGACAACAGCCAGATGCATGTCTCGCTCCGCCTAGCTCCACTCACATGTGAGTGGAGCTAGGCGGAGCGAGACATGCATCTGGCTGTTGTCAGGTTATAATAATATTACAATACTTTTACATCAATTATGAGACTCACATGTGAGTGGAGCTAGGCGGAGCGAGACATGCATCTGGCTGTTGTCAGGTTAATATTATTAGGGATGCACTGAAAATTTGGCAACCGGAACTTTTCGTCTCAAAGACATTAAACACAGAAACAACACGGCCGAAACATGTGACAACGCGACAAACGAAACATCCTGCACGAGAGAAAAAAGAGTCGCTAGAAAAATTATTATAGTTGGCATGCAGATACGATGTTGAGCGCACTAAGTAAAGCAATGAAGCAAAATAGCACAAGTTGCACTGCAGAGTTTTCGGAGTTGAGTGCGCGATGGAAATGTTTTGAGTGAGGGGGAGCGAGTTTAACGTACATTGGTCTCAGTGTGGGCTCAGGTTAGTGGCACAAAAACAATGCAGCAGAAATCCAAACATTCCCCATTATCCCCATTATCACCATACAACAAGGAAAAGAAAACTGACACTGAATACTTGAACTGACATGTTTGAAAACGCACAAACGTTTCCCAGTGATTCTGCTTATGTAAAGGGCATAACAAAAACAAATGTCAGTACTTTGCTGATTTTGTTATTGAATAATTTATAGTTTATTAAAATGCCTTGAGTCTAAAAATATTATTATTTTTAATGGGGTTAGTTTACATCGAAGCCAAGAGTGCTATGATTTTAATATTTGACAAATTAACTTCTTTCAGTGTTTCAGTTTTCGGCCTTGGTTTCCTAATTTTTTGGTTTTGGCCAAGAATTTTAACATTAATGTATATGAAAATGCATTTTACATGTGTTTGTCTGGATGTATGTGTATGCACATCCTAACTGACCGAAAACAAGATTGCTTATGTCTAGAAGATATCTTTTTCTGCAAGATACTAAGGGGTGGAACGGTTCACAAAATCCACGGTTCGGTTCGGTTCACGGTTTCGTGGTCACTATTTTCGGTTCGGTTCGGTATATGTTGATTGTTACACCGAAATCCCATAAAAATTAATGAAAAAAATCCCAAAAAATGAACGAATTGTAATTATTTTTAATGATCCGCGTAAACCATGGATCATTTCTGCATGTTTTGCTGCTTTGAATTAAATCATCTCGAGCATGCCCTCTACGATCTCCAAGGAACTAAGAGAGCGGACGGGAGCCACAGCTGAGGCTGTAGGCTTTGCTTTGTGCAGGCGGTCTGGTGCGCAGCGGGGCGGAGCGCTAATGGAGTATGTAGGATTTTGGGGTTAGCATGACATGTTGGTTGTGTTGCTGTTAGCATAAACAAAACGTGTTGCACAATGCTTGCACACTGTTGCACTTTTATCCACAACTTTCTTTCCGCCGTCATCGTAGGTCACTCTCTAAATGCAACGTGGTCCCATACAGCAGACCTATAAAGTGCTGCTGGCGCGTCTTCCAACTCCTGTTCTTTCCCACTCGCCATACCCATTTTTTTCTGCTACACCCGGCTACGCTGCTTCGCTTCTTCTTCTTCTTCTTTACTACTGGTCGTTGGCTTTGGTCGCAGTACTGCCACCTTCTGCTCTGGAGTGTACACGCTTTGCCTATGAGAAAAAGGAGCAGCGCATGAACCGAACGAAACACACGCGAACCGAACCGAGACAGTCGAACCGAACGGTTCTGACGGTTTTCTGAAACCGTTCCATCCCTACAAGATACTGTAGGTTAATACCTGGTTTCAACTGTATGCACACAGTCCCATAAGATGTAATAATCTGGCTGTTTTATGGTAAACCTGTCCATTTCTCACCTTTCTCAGTCACAGATGAGTCTCCGCCCAGCCTCTCTAAAGAGCTCGCCAACTCTCTGGCTGGCGTCAGCGACGTCAGCTTTGATGCAGACTCTCAGTTCCCCTTGGACGAGCTGAAGATAGATCCACTCACACTGGACGGACTTCATATGCTTAACGACCCTGACATAGTGCTAGCAGACCCCGCCACAGAGGACACGTTCAGGATGGACAGGCTGTAGCGTGAGCGCTGTGTCAGGGCACAGAGGGGAGGATAAAAACACTAATTTGGGTGAAGAGAGGAAAAGGGTAGGATGAAGCCCCTCCCTCGTTGCATGGCCGTCCAGTTCTATGACTCTGAAAGATGCGCCATTAAAAAAAAAAGAAAAAGAAAAAAACAACAGGGAAAAAGTCGTCCATTGGCTTGCAACTGGAATGGCCTCGCTGTTGTTTTGAATAAGATTGGTTGCTCGGCGCTTCTGCTAGCCTACTCTTGTTTACAGTGCTTCATTACATGCCACATAATTAAAAAAAAAATGCACATTGCAGCTGTTTTCATATCCACACTTGTTTTATTTATATTTGCTTGTAGCAGGAAGCTGCTAAGTTACTGGGTAAAACAATAGTTTTTGGCTATGTCTAAAAGAGGAGGGGAATAAAACCACATAGCCAGTTTACTCACTACCCCTCAAACAAGTTATCCAACAATAGCATGTTGACTTTTTTTTTCGTGACACTCAAAGCTTTATTTTTGACAACCAAATGTTCTTTTCTTGTTGTATGATGTTTGTGTATTTATGTTTTTATTTATTTATTTATTTGGTCAAAGGTCTGGCATTTCAAACCTTTGACATCTGATGCCAAAATGTCTGTAGGCAGTGTAAAATTCCACTAATGTAATTACAGTAGTCGCAAACATATTTATGTGCCGTTTTTATGTTTCTAATAGTTTAATGAAGGAGTGCAAAACCTCCCCATAATTGCTCTTTTGTGTTAGGTGTGCCATTATGTAGAGTTGATGTGCTGCAGTCCAACAAGCAAATCCAATTATTTAGCACCACTTCAGGTCAAACACTGGGAGTCATTAGGGAATTCAGTTTAACCAAAACAAGTGAATCGAAATTCATTCTCAGCAAGTAATAGTCTATATATAATATATATAAAATCTCTATACACTATATTGCCAAAAGTATTCTCTAAGCCATCTGAATATTTGATTTTTAGGTTTGTAAAATTCATGACATGGACTCCAGGGCATGTACTCTGTTTCTAGACATCGGTTAGTGGTATTCTTAAAAAGTGGAAGAAACATAAGGTGTGTGCAGTAATCCCTAATCTCATTTGACTTTAAATGAGCTTAGGAACAGTGCATAGGGAGCTTCATTTATGGCAGGGGTCTGCAACCTGCGGCTCCAGAGCCACATATGGCTCTTTGGACCCTCTCCAGC